GGGTGCGGGTAGAGCGAGAGCGCGGCGCCGCCCTTGCCGTCGCCCTCGGCCTCCTCCACCGGCTCCAGGTCAGACACGTTGCCCAGCACCTTGGCGTCCGTGCCGCCCAAAGACTCCGGATCCGAGTGCGCCGAGCTAGGGTGGTCCGAGTCGGCGGCTTGGTCCGGACTCAGCATCATTTTGGAGGCTGAGGGGGAGTCAGAAAATCAATCAGTAAAGGGAATCAGGGTCTTTGATCGGTGCGGGAGCGGGGACGGCCTCCCCCTGAGCCTTCGCTTCCGGCCTCCTTCCCACCCCAGGCCCGCGCGCTCGGGGGAGCTGGCCCGGCGGGGAGGGAGCCGTCTCTCCTAGGCAGGGCCGCATCCTGGACCTGAGACCTCGGCCTGCAGGAGGCCCAGCCCGCGGACTACCGCAAGCCTGTGACGCCTGGGTTGTGTGCGCCTCGGGCCATAAACCAACTCCATCATTCTGCCTCCCTCACTTCATTTCCGTGGTTGACAAATGACGAAGGATGAACACATCTGGCTTTTGCAGGGGAGGGAAGGGAGAAGGGGAAGGAATCCGGCCCGCGGACCTCGCGCGCTGTTCTGGGGCACAGGGTGGGGCGCCCAGGGCTGGAGAGGGGTCTGGTCCCGCGGGCAGACGGGGAGCAGGCCCAGAGATCGAAGGCGTCCTGGTCCCCCCCAGTGCTTCTCCGAAATCATAAAGAAACGACTAAACAAACGGAGGCTCCTTTCAGCACAACAGAGACGCTCGTGCCCTCGCAGGCGCCCGAAGCACCATCTGTCACGCAGGCAGCCACACACATCAGGGACCCAGGGACGCGGAGACTTGACCTGCGATAAGACAATGCGCCGGGCAACCTGCCGACCACTCCCCGGAAAACGCTGGCGGCCGGAGCGCTGCAGGGGGAGAGGCCGGGGAGGAAGGGAAAGGCAGGGCGCGGGACCGGAGGAGGTGGGCAGGCCTGGCCCCAGCTACACCTCTGTCCGCAAAGTTTGGGTGCTTGGGGGGCCAAAGCCCAGAACCCGCCGCCCTCCCGGACGGCCTGGCCAAGGCCCGGGAGGTCTGTCCCAGCTTTCCTCTGACGCTGGCTTCCTGGAAAGGTCCCCTTGTCCCCCTCCTCTGGCGTCTGGAGTTCGCCCCTCCTGTGCGCCTTTGGGAAGGGAGCGGCCCAGGATCGCTGGGCTCCGGGGGAATTCGGCACCTGCGGGTACCGAGCGCAACTACCGGCGCGCCCCGGGCGCAAGGACCAGGCTGGGAGGCGGGGGCCCTGCGTGTGCAGCCGGAGCGACCTGGCCGGGGGTTTGTGTGCAGCCGGAGCGACCTGGCCGGGGAGAAACCCGCATGGGCGCCAGGGTTTGCTTCCAGAGACAAAAGCGGGGACGCGCGCTCCGCTCCCAGCACCGCACTGGCTTAGGAGAGAATTTGGCTTCAAGACGGCTTTCATTTCCCGGCGAGGAAAACATGTCCTCTAAGGCAAAATAAAAACAACCCTCCAAGTGAACTACCTGTGATTCCCTGCGGCTTTTAACGGATACATTTATAAGTAGAGCAACTTGCGCCTACACACCGGCTTGAAAGGGTATAAATAAATAAGCCAGAAAATCAGAATAAGCCACCACAGTTGTAGCTCAGGCAAAAAGTTCCTGGATTACCCTCAAAGCATGATACATTCTCCTCCAGGTATCTTTTTTTAAAAATATTCATAAAAAGCACATCGTGTGTGTATTTTATTTCTTTAGCATTTGCCTGAAATGCATCTGTCAATGCAATATGAACAAACTAACTTAGTTCCACGCTGGAAAAAAAATTATTTAAAGGAGCCTTACCTTGTAAAAGCCTTTTCGATAATCTTTTCTCCAATCTTTTAGAGTTAAAATTCCAGGGAATACAGGGGAGGGACTCCGAAATATATTAAAAGCAGAAAATATTTATTACATTCACATATGAAAAAGCAGCTGTCATCTCGCCGGTGTCCACACTGAGGGACGATACTATCTCAGGATGTGGACGGTATCAGTGATTGTTTACTGAGCTGATAGATCAAAACGCCTTTGCCTTTTAATTGTTCGCAAACATTTCGGGAAATTCGTTGTTGATTTTCTTCCCCCCAAAAAACCACGGGAGGTGTTGAAAGGTCTCCTGCCTTTTCTCCTCTTCTAGGTCTCTATAAATAACAAAAGAGATGCAGAGATAAACACAGTCACATCAGAGGGCTGATTCCTCCACTTTCTAATAGCAGAAGAATCAATAAGAAAGATGGTTAAGATAAGATACGGCTCCTGTAGGATTCCTTTTCCTCCCCTTAACAGGGCTGAGCAGAAACTGGGAAGTACAAGGCAGAGATGCGATCTGGCTCAGAAGTGATTTTTTTTTTTTTTTTGAGATAAGGCTTTGTTCAGCTGATGTCTCCCCAGTTCCCAGGAACACAATACTATTACTCGGGGCTAAGCGTGTCTCTTCCTCTTCCCACATCTACTTGTATGTTGTATAAACAGACACCTATTTCCAGTTTCAAAGTCTTTCCAGGCTTGGTTACATCTCCCACCCCCTACCCCCTCCTTCCTTTACCTTGTAGCAAAATAGACATAGTCAGTGGCTTGGAGATGCTTGGAGAAAGGGTGGTGGAAAGTGAACGTCTCCAGCAGGAACAGTGGCAGGGAAGCTGAGCAAGACGGGAGAGGGTGGCAGAGCCCAGCAAAGAGGCAGCGATGCGCGTGGCTTCTTAGCTCTCCTGGTACCAATTGATTCAGCCTGGAGATGGTGGAAGAGATAAAGGCTTAAGAAGGGGGATGGAATTTTTTTCCCCCCTAAATTGATATTTAATGGGAAATCCTATTGGACAGCAACCTGGACATGAGTCACTTAATTGGACTTGACATCTGTCACAGTGTTGGAGTTTTCACAGCCCAAATATTTTAGCAGATCGGATTCCCACTGAATCTGTGCCATAAAATATAACATTGCAAGCAGTCCATGATAGGAACTTTAGCCTCTAAACAGAATATGTAGCCATAATCAGACCATTTCTCTTTTTCTGACGATTGATGCACGTAAACAACATATTGACTATGGAAAAATTATCCTGGCAAATTACAAAACCAGCATCTTCCTGTAATGCGCAGGAAAATATTTGTGTCCCGAACATGGAAATATATGCTGTATGTGGTACTGCAATAAATGTATTCAGATACACACTAGCCACCCTTTTTAGTAATCATTTCCACTTTAAAGAACACTTCAATAGGCTTGATTAAGCTTATTCCTATTTTTCAGAGATATCTTCCCACTGGACTAATTTTCCAATATATGATAAAAACAACAACAACAACCCTTTCCATAGATTGTCATAGGTGGAGCTGGGAACAGAATCCAGGCATTATAATGGTAGGGATTACCAGATGAGACCATTGGACTTTCTGAATATATTTGTTTTCCTCTTCACCCTCTCATTCATTCAACTTAAACTGTGGCATCCCCCAAGTGTTGATTATGCAGCTCATTCTTGCTTGTTTTCATCTATGACTATTTCGCCGTGTGGCAGTGCATTGGGCCAGGATGTAAACACATACAAATCACCAGTGTATTCCAACACGTAATGCCTTTGCCTTACACGACCCCATGCCTCTGAATTTATATGCCTTATAACAAAAGGGAAAATCTAGTTCAATTATTTTGCCACTGTGAGCCACCATCAATTACAAAATATTTGCAATTATTTTAGCTTTTTTTTTGATAGTGCAAGCATGAAAGAAATAGAGTATTATAGCTCACCGCCACCCTCCCTCCCCAGTCCCTGGGGGAACTTTGGTGGAGAGAGGAGCCCTCACTTGCCCTCAGAGATCAGTTTTGCCTGAAACACAGGCTTTGTCATCAGGGAGGGGGGTGGTCAGCCCGCCCCTGGGAGTGACCCTCTGGGTTCCTCATGGCTGCCACCAGTCCTGTGTGCCTTTGCACACGTTTTTCATTCTATGGGAGATTCCTGGACCAGCAAGGGGTGGGGTGAGAGCAATGGATGCCTCCACCCCAAACGGGCACCAGCACTTTCCAGCTGCACCTCCGCCCCGCCCCAGCGCAGAGGGACATTTAAGTGGAGGCAGGAGCCGGCCACATTCAGGTGGCCATGGGAACAGGTGAGTGGGTGAACTAACTCTTCCAGGTGGTGCAGATGAAGGGAGAGGGAGGTCTCCCCAGCCTGGCTGGGAGCAGCCAGCACTCTGCATTCACCCACACAGAACCTGGAGTGAGCACACAGCTGTGCACCCAGGGGTACCTGTGTTCCCCACCTCCCGCTCCTCACACAGGCCCGTGGACTGCTACACCACTACACGACTGACAGGTCGAAAAGCCTGGTGGACCTAACCACCACAGTCCACACGGCAGCTGCTGTAGTGGGAAGTGACTGGTATCTGTGTTTACCCTGGGGAGGCGGGACAATGAGGGGGGACATCCCAAGACAGGGTGGAGTCTACTATGGTGTGTGTGCATCTAGACATGTTCTCTCTTCCACTCAGGCTTTCTGCTTCCACACGTAGAACCTATGGGTGCATAAATTCATACACGAGGAAGCCTATGTAAACAGGTACACACTCAGACCCATATGTAGTCACGCCTAGACACACTGCCATGGTCACAGGCATGGACTCACACTCACACACATGCATTCTCTCTTCCAGGAAGGCCTTCCTGTGCCCTGCTGCCACCTCTCAGACCTCCTGGCACAAATGGCCCCTCCTTCTGTGCCCCATAGGCCCTCTTTTCACATCTCCCCACGACACATTGTGTACCATGATTCTTGGTTTCCATACTTGTGCCTCCCACTGAGCTGTGATGCTTCCGGGGAAGATCTGTAGCTATACCCCAGCCCTGGTGTCTGAGTGTGACATATTATACGTACTCAGTATATTTATGTCACCCGGCTTCCTGTGCACAGAGGCACCCAGGATGTTTGTAAACAGAAACACTTCCACCTAAAGACACCCCTGGTTTCAGCTGTACCACTTTTGTCACCTAGTGAGGATAGCAACCCTGCCCTACTCACTCCACCGACTAGTTATCTGAAAGTGTTTTATAAAGTACCAAGCACCATACAAGCAAAGCTATTGTGGAATATTAGGAGGTAACTAGTGATTTAAAAAGCCCGACTTTCTGGCTCTAACATATGATACCTGTGTGAATTTAAGTGAGTTACTTAGCCTTTCTGGACCTCAGTTTTTCTATCTGCAAAATGGGGATATAAAAAATATGTTGTTATGTTATGTCCTATGTTTTTTTCTAAAGATTAACAAGATGATCTGTGTAAAGTGCTTAAATTAATGCCAGAACTCATGCTCCATAGTGTTGACTATTAATATTGTTAATAACATTGTTATTACTCAATATAAATACATATTGAGAGTCAGAAATATATATGAAATTACATGACATAGGAATATGTCTAGTATATTCACTCAGTGTGTGTGTGTGTGTGTGTGTGTGTGTGTGTTGCCTGGACATGGTTGTGGTCACAAACATGGGTTTGCACTCATACATGTGCATTTTCTCATACTTCACACAGATTCACTCTTTTTATCTTCACCACAGGCTATGAGGTAGGTGCTGCTGTTGTCCCAATTTTGCATATAAGGAAACTGAGACATGGAGAAGATGGTAATCTACTCAAGTTCATATAGCTAATAAATGATGGGGCCCAAGAGTTAGACACAGGTGTTCTAAATTTAGAAACTACAACCACAATGTCTTCGCTTCTATGGTCATGGTTTCCTACACAAATACACTCATGCAGAAGAATTACTCAGCAAGCAACGTGCATGCTCTGAGGGAGAAACAGACAATCATTGAGACTGAAGCTATATCCCACCTGTTCATGTTTTTCCTCAGGGGAAAAATGTTCCTCTAATATTTCCTGGTAATTCTGAAGGTAGGAGCAGATTTCTTGGACTCAACAGATAGTGGGAAGAGGTGCCTCGAATGTTGGTGAGATACTGAGAGAGCATTTTGCACCGGAAAATGGAAAATCCAAGCCTCCACAAGGACTCGATCTGATTTCCTATGATGGAGTTCTAGCAGGACCTTCCAGTGGATCACAATGAAAACGTAGCACCATCCCTGGGATTCACCAGGCTGCTGCCACTTCGTTGATCACATCTGTTCACATTTCCAGGTGCCAGGATGTGATGAGGACCTATTTACTCATAAGACTGTGGCCATGGTGCCTAAGGGCTTTAATCAGTTCTTGAGGTTGGTCCGCGTCTCACCACTGAAAAGCAAATATTGTCCTGTTTCCCTTTGCATACAGTCTCAGGGCGATGCTCGATAGGTTAGAGCACTTTCCTCTCATAAAAACTCTTGCTTGTTAGGTCGGTAGGATTAGGGGTGATTTTTTTTATCCTTTCAAAAATATTCTTTAATGTTGACAGGAAATTCTTTGACAAATAAGCATTTTTTAAAAGGTTACAAAAAGGTCATTTCCAGGAGGAAAAACAAAATATTGTGGAGAGTTCCCTGCGTGGGGACATGGGAACAACAAACAAATGGATCAAGAAATGCCAGCTTGACAACCTAAACCTGTAAGAAGATGGCCAGATAGCTAACTTCGGTGAATAATCAAGCAGACAGAAGTTGTTATGTAGATGAAACTTACGCATCATTAATTAAATACGTCATTATTTTTTCATTCAAGTGTTCTCGTGTGCAGCAGATAAGGCCTTAAAATAGAAATGGCTCAAGGGGCATTTCAAAGTCATTGTTCAACGTAATGATATACCTAAAAAAATATTAATGTCCCATGTTGGCCATCAGACTTGACCTTGTTTGTGTCTCATTTCTGCAGGGCTGTGAGTTACTAGGGTTAATTTAATAAACTGATCTCTAGTAAGGTAACTGTGGCTGGTAATGCCTCATTACTCTTCCCAGATATCTTGGGGTGCTATTTTTTTCATGATGTTTTCATATTTGAATCTAAAGGAGTTTGTGAATTTCAGGTCTGCAGAAATCTTAAGTGGAGGCTGCCTAAGGAGCTATTTGTACTTCATAGGCTAGGCAGCCCTTGCCTCCACTTCCCTCAGCTCAAGGATTTTTATGCACAATTAATGATGGAGACCTTAGTCCAAACATGTCAAACTCATGGCTCGTGGGCTG